CCAGCCTCGTTCCCAGCCCTGCTCCGACCCCAGCCTCGTTCCCAGCCTGCTCTTGCTTTGGTCCAAACCTGCTCTTGACTCCAACCTTTGTCTCCAGCGCCTGGCCTGGTTGCCACCGCACCAACCACTAGGCCCAGCTGCCACTGCTCCTGTCACTAGGCCTGACCCTGCCCAGCTCAGCTTCTGACACACACCACTCTTTGCCTCTCTGCTGGGAACATACCCTATCCCCTAGGAACTGGCTGAGACCCGCCGAATTCGTCACACATGGGCCACCAGACAGCTGCTGGATAAGGGCAGCTACAGACCTGGGCTGGACTGGCCTTGGGGGCCTTGGGCACGCGGTGCCCACAGCTGATCCTCAGCTCCTGGGGCTCAGGGGAGACAGGACCCTGAGCCCCCAGTAGCTCTGGGCTGGGGGAGGGCTGCTCCCACCTGCACCACGTGCGCTTCCAGATGAGGAGGGTGGCTTTGGTCCACACCCAGGTGCTCATGGAAATGCCGGTGCCGAACATGGCAAAGAGGTTGATCTTCTCCACCAGCAGGCTGGGCCGGTTCTTGATCTCGCAGTTTGGGATCGGCTTGTTGGTCTGGATGGCGATCGTCACGTTCGCTTCGCACCTGCGGCAGAAACACGGGGCATGACGAGCAGGGGCTAAAACCCACCCTGACCGGGGCAACGGGGAGCCGGGGCACCCGGAAAGCCACCTCCCATCCCCCATCCGTGAAGCGCTCTCCCCTTAGCGCAGCCAGATAAAGGGCAATGACACACACCTCCTGCCAGGAGCGGCTGCTGATTAGATTCAGGGGCTGAGGCCCCTTCCCACAGCTCGACGACCCCCAACAGCTGCCCAGACCCCGCAGTGATGGGGGCCACGCGAGGGCAGGGAGCTGCTCGCAGCCGCAGGAGCGCCACGCGATGGGCTCTCTGCAGAAGGTTTCAGCAGAAGCCCCACGGTCTGAGCTTCGGGACCACCCTGGCAGGGAACGACCCGGCACTGAACAGAGCGACGGGCTAACGGGCCCATCTCGGGTTCCTCCCGACGTGTCTCCCCGGGATCAGGCACGTCAGGATGCCCCCGGTCCCCGCACTGCTAGGCCCTGCTCCCCGCTGAAATGGGAACAGGCCCGGGGCCATGGATGGCCTGCGCAGTCATGCCCCGAGGTGCCCGTGAGGGGCAACACGGGGACCAGCCATGGAATCCCCCGGCGACTGCCGTTCCCACGGCATCAGGGCGGGAATCCACACGAGCAGCCAGGCTTCCGCATGGGGAATGGGAAGAGCGTCGTCACGGGACCCGGCGGCGGAGGGGAGGTCATGGAAAGCGTCACCTTCTTCCAACACGGAGCAAGGAGCGATACTGGAAAACACCTCCCCCCCCGCCCGAGACTCTTCCCGCCACTCCGGGTGGGGGCTGGGGGCACCTCTTAAAGGGACGGGCGGGGCGGGGGGGAGCACGGCCTGTCCCCACTTACAGAACATACTCCCGGAAGCTGCGCTCCCACTCAGCCTGGTTGAAGAAGTCGTAGAAGTGGCAGGCGAAGGTGATGAGGACGAAGCCGAAGGCCAGGAAGCCGAAGATGCCTGTAAGGAAGCATCAAAGGGCCCGGGGGTTATTCCCACAGCCCCAGGGCCAGGATGCAGCATGTTGCCAGCCAGAGGGAAGCCCTAATGGAAATACGATCCAGGAAAAGCGAAGGGAGGGGTCAAACCCGGGCTCCTTCTGCACCTCTGATGGGGTCCTCGTCTATATCAGCTGCACCCGCTCCTAGCGCGCCTTTTGGCCCAAAGAGCTTTACGTACCGGCTACACAGAGGTCACGTTACCCGGCAGTGAAATGCAGCCACCTCTGGGGAGGACCGTGGCAGCTGTGTAACAGCAGCGCTACACCAGTTTCGGACCAGAAAAGGAATAATGCAGCCAACCTTCCCAGGGAATCCGAGGGAGGCAAAACACACTCACTCAGGCTGGAGCTGGGTTAACTTGGCAGAGAGGCTCCGGGAGCGGCCAGGACCTGGCTCTCGTGCCTTACCTGAACGGTGGCGCCTCCAGCAACCCCAGGCCAGGCTCATGTTCACTATGGACTCAGAGGCGAGTGCCCTCAGTGAGTCACTCATACCGCTCCCTGCCAGTGCCACCGCTTCGTGCAGGCCCTGGGTTTCCCCGGGAGGCTCCTACCCCAGGCTGGCCCTTTGGGACGGGCGAGATCACGGCCCGGGGCAGAACGCCGGCCGCGAGGCACGAGCCAAGCCCAGACCCGCCCGGCTTACCCAGCCGTAACATGGTCTCGTTGATTTTGCTGGCAGCTTTCTCGCTCAGCAGACCGGGGTGGTTGCTTTTGATGGAGAACAGAGTCATGACACCTAGGACAGACGGACAGCAAGACAGGCGCGTCAGCCGGGACCTAGGCTGCCGGATCAAGCAGCTAGGGAGCACCCCGGCGCACCCATGGACTCGGCGGATATGGTACGTAGAGCATCACAGAAGAATGGCCATATTGGGTCAGACCAAAGGTCCATCTAGCCCAGTATCCTGTCTTCCGACCGTGGCCAGTGCCAGGTGACCCAGAGGGAATGGACGGAACAGGGAATCCTCAAGTGATCCATCCCCTGTCGCCCATTCCCAGCTTCTGGCAAACAGAGGTTAGGGACACCATCCCTGCCCATCCTGGCTAATGGCCATTAATGGACCCATCTTCCATGTACTTATCTAGTTCCTTTTTGAACCCTGTTATAGTCTGGGCCTTCATAACATCCTCTGGCAAGGAGTTCCACAGGTTGACTGTGCATTGTGTGAAAAAATACTTTCTTTTGTTTGTTTTAAACCTGCTGCCTATTAATTTCATTTGGTGACCCCCTAGTATGTGTGTTATGGAAAGAAGTAAATAACACTTCCTTATTTACTTTCTCCACACCAGTCATAATTTTATGGACCTCAATCATATCTCCCCTTAGTCATCTCTTTTCCAAGCTGAAAAGTCCCAGTCTTGTTAATCTCTCCTCATACGGAAGCCATTCCAGACCCCTAATCATTTTTGTTGCCCTTTTCTAAACCTTTTCCAATTCCAATATATCTGTTTTGAGATGGGACGACCACATCTGCACGCAGTATTCAAGGTGTGGGCATACCATGGATTTATACAGAGGCAACATGATATTTTCTGTCTTATTATCTATCCCTCTCTTAATGATTCCCAACATTCTGTTCGCTTTTTTGGCTGCCGCTGCACATTGAGTGGATGTTTTCAGAGAACTCTCCACAATGACTCCAAGATCTCTTCCTTGAGTGGCAACAGCAAATTTAGACCCCATCATTTTATATGTATTGTCGGGATTATGTTTTCCAACGTGCATTACTTTGCATTTATCAACAGTGAATTTCATCTGCCATTTTGTTGCCAAGTCACCCAGTTTTGAGAGATCCTCTTGTAGCTCTTTGCAGTCTGCCTGGGACTTAACTATCTTGAGTAGCTTTGTATCATCTGCAAATTTTACCACCTCACCGTTTACCCCTTTTTCCAGATCATTTATGAATATTTTGAACAGTCCTGGGCCCAGAACAGACCCCTGGGGGACACCATTTACTTCTCTCCATTCTTAAAACTGACCATTTATTCCTACCCTTTGTTTCCTATCTTTTAACCAGTTACTGATCCACGAGAGAACCTCCCCTCTTATCCCAGGACAGCTCACTTTGCATAAGAGCCTTTGGTGAGGGACCTTGTCACAGCTAAATACAAGATTGGCTGGTTTCACCCACATTTAATGCCCCAAGAACAATTATGTGAGTGAAACCAGACAATCACAACGCTCTCAAATGAATTCTCCCAGGAAAAGGATAAAAGACAAAACCGCCCAAACACTTTTCGCAGAGCGATCACTCCATAGCTGACCTCTCAGTCCTCATCCACAAAGGAAACCTGCACAACACCTTCAAAAGATGAGGCCGGGCGCTTAAATTCATAACTCTGCTAGACACTAAAAATCATGGGCTGACCAGCAACACTGGATTTATGGCTTATTACAACAATCTCCCACCCCGCTGCCTTCCTTCCCCCCCATGACTGGAGGGGTATTAACGGGCCACTTCCCCTTGAATGGTCCCTTAGAATATGTGCTAACTACTTATGCTGAACTATCTGTTGCTCTTGTATTTAGCTGTGACACTCTCCGTACCTTTCCCAGACCAAAGAGCTCTGGGTAGCTCAAAAGCTTGTCTCTCTCTCCCCCCAAGAGAAGTTGGTCTCATAACAGCTATCGCTTCACCCAGCTAAGGGATTGACTCCTTTGGCTCGGGGGACAGCGTTTCCTGCTTTCGCGTGGAAGGTTCCCAGACCAAACCCCGCTGGGTTGTTAGCACCCACCTCGGATCAGGAAATAGCCTCCCACGATCAGCACCAGGCCGATGGGAGCCAGGACGAAGCCAGCGCGGTACCGATAGTTCTTGTAGCCCACAAAGCAGATGCCGCTGACGGAGTCTCCGTCCACCTGGTCGGGGCAGAGTCATCAGTGTCCGTCCCTCCCCAGCCTGGAGATTGGGCTGGAAATCTCAGGAGAATGGGCTGGGAAACCAGGGGCTGTGCTGTCCCTTTACAGGGTGAACCTGGTGCCCATCCAGTGACGTGGCAGCCTATGGCTCTGCCATTTGGTAGACCCAGGTTTTGTAGATGACCCTGGCGTCGGGTGCTTACTGGGGAGGGAGTGGGATGGAGATGGAGGCTGGTGCCCCCTACGGGTGAGTTTGAGCAGCCTGGGTATGGCCTTTGGGAGCATAGGCTTGGAGATAAACAGGGCCCCATGCAGCCCATCAGTGCAGGGAAGGCATGAAGTGGGGAGGGAGCCAGGAACGTGGGGGGGCTGGGAAATGCTGAACCTCGCCTGGAACACACAGCTGATGTTCAGATACAGGGAGCCTACAGGAGGGCCACAGGCAGTGGGGTCAACAAATGGAGTAGGACTGAGATGAGACGCTGAGCTGGGATGGTTCCTGCTCACCAATAAACCGATCACCCCCAGGGCAGAGTGGCAGGACCTTCCCCCTTCCACTGAGAGGGGAGCATCCCTTAGGGTCCCCAGGGTGGGGTGGGCACAGAGGTCTCCACACCGGGTGCCCCGTACCTGGGCGACGGCCAGGATGGCGACAGTGAGGACGAAGGGGATGGACCAGGTGACCAGGTGGAAGTAGGAGGTCTTTCCCAGCAGCGGCTGGTAGGTGGTGCCCAGCGCTTTGAAAGAGGTGTGCCAGGCGTAGGTCAGCATGACGAACCAGATCACGCCCGACATCAGCGAGTAGTAGACGATGACGAAGATGATCACGCAGGAGAGCGTCTCGTTGGAGCTGGGGAGGCGGGATGGGATAGGACTGGGAGGTGAGAGGGGGTCTCTCCCCCATCCCCCACTCCACTCCGGCTTGTTCCTGACAGACAGATACGGGCTAGCCTGGCTCAGCACCCAGAGTGTGCCCACGCCCCCCGACAGAGCATCTTGCAGTCTGCAGGGCCACATCACCTCAAGGGGCTGTGAGCCAAACCTGATCCTGTGGGAGCCAGCGGGAGCTTTGCCCAGATCCCCAGCCCTGTCCCCAATCCCACCGGTTCCCTGACCACATCTGCTGGGCCTGGTGCCTACGGCACTGCCCCTCCCATAGCGGGCAAAGGCAGACGGAGGTGGGGGTGGGCCCCGGAGGTGGGGCTGGGCCCGCTGTGCGGGGCGGAGGTACCTACGTTGGCTCTCCCAGCCGCATGGTGCCGTCGGCTCGGCACACGATCTCGCCGCGGGCCCCGTCCATGAACTGCGCCAGCCAGCCGATGCTGCCCACAAAGAAGCAGGCGTTGACGTAGAAAAGAATGACGGCCGGGTAACGGTTCGAGTTCTTCCAGTCGGCAACAAACGTGGCCTGAGGTGGGGTGGGGGATGGGAGAGAAGAGCCGGCAGATGGGCCGGGGTCTATGGCTGTGCATCACTCGTTCCTGCCCTTGCTCCAGACCCCTACTGGTCAGCCCCGCAGCCGAGAGCAGCAAAGGCTCACGCCAGCCACCAGGGGGTGCTCTGAGCCAATGCAGATTTCACTCTGCCTCCTTCCCCGCCCCGGGGGATCAGCTCGTGGCCGGCAGCCCCCCCCCCGCCCGCTCCGCTCACCAGGGTGAAGAAGGTGCAGAAGATGGTGACGGAGCTGAAGGCGGCGATGTACAGGTGCATGTCGCGGTGCTCGTGCTCCGTGAAGAGGGGGTTCTGGCACTGGATGCCGCAGCCCTCCACGTCCTCGTACCAGCTCTTGGGGTTGTCCGTCTGCACCAGCGGGGCCTCACAGTGGCCCGAGCTGTTGAACTTGAGGTTCTGCACCTCGTTCTGGGGGCAAGCGGGGTCAGAGAAGAAAGGAAAGGGATCGTTAGGGGTCTGAGGGACGCTGTCAGGAGAGGACGACCCACGCTGAGGGCTGGGAACCAAGACTCCTGAGTTCCTAGTCCAAGATCTGCCACTGACAGCCTCCCGGCCTTTGGGGGACCCGCTTACCAGGCCTTCCTCAGACAGGGATTACTCCACACCCCAGGGAGATGGTGACACTGAATCCGTTGGGTGAAACCCCGGCCTCGCTCAAATCAACGGCGGTTTTGCCATCGATTTCCATGGGATCGGGATTCCAGCCCAGAGTCTGTAAAGCCCCTTCCAGCCAAAGTCCTTCTTGTGGGATCCTGCACTAAGCCAGCGTGGCGTGGAAGCATTTCAGTTCTCCCAGGGCAAGGCAGGGGGGAGGAATAGCTCAGTGGTTTGAGCACTGGCCTGCTAAACCCGGGGTTGTGAGTTCAATCCTTGAGGGGGCCATATAGGGATCTGGGGCAAAAATCTGTCTGGGGATTGGTCCTGCTTTGAGCAGGGAGTTGGACTAGATACCTCCTGGAGTCCCTTCCAACCCTGATATTCTATGATAACTCTGCGAGGGGAAGGGACGTGGGAGGCGGGCTGGAGAGGGGTCAACACAGAGGCTCTGCCGGGAAGGGGCCTGGGGCAGAGAGCCTTGGCAATCTCCCCCTCTCCCCCAGTCAGGGTTAGAAGAAAGCCAGTCTCACTGCGGTTCTGTGCCAGTCACAGGACGCTTGAAAACTGACCGTCGATAACCCTCATCCTGGTCTCGCTGAAGCCATAAGAATCCCCGCCCCCAAATATTTCAATTGCCACCAATTTTTCTAAAACTCTTCCCCTCGCCAAACACACGGTTTGGGCCTAACCTACGTGACTATGCCTCTAAAGGGAGATTTCCTGTCATCAGAACAGCGGCAGGATACCTGGTACCTCACATTTATACACCACCTCCCAGGGAACCTCCAAACTACTTTACAAGGATCTCCCAAGCACTGCTGAAATGCAGCCTCCTCAGGTGCGGAACAGAGTTGCTCAACAGTGTACAACAGCCCTTTAGGGAGGGAAATCCGGAATAACTTCACTGAGATTCCCGGGGGGATTTCGCTGTAGACAGGAGCTAACTGTCCGCTTTGTTTTGATGTCCCGGGCACAAAACAGAACCTCTAGCAGCACAGCGCCCCCTAGCACCATGCAAGGGCATTAATTCAGTACCAACTCTGAAGGAAGAGCAGCTAACACCACTTCCTGCAGCACCAGGGTTTGGCTTAAGGGCTTCCCACCCACGTGAATTTAGAGCCTGCGAAAGGGGCTGGACTGACAGCCCTGGAACAAGAGGCCTCTGGTTAGCTCCAGAACAGGCAGAGCAACGTGTTTCAACCGTGCACAGGGCAGGTCAGTTGCTATGGTCCAGCCTGTCCACGGGACCAGAGGAACCGCTGGATGGAATCAGATCAGGGGGCTAGAACTGCGGCTGGCCCTGCTGTCTATATAAAACGTCTGACCCTTTGCTATTTCTGTGGATGAAGAACCTCCATGGCTACAGGGAGCCAACTAGTGCCGCTTGCGGTAACTCCTGTGATGTGACCGGTCTCCTAGGAATTGAATTGAGACCCACCAACTTATGGCCATCAAATGACTCATCGCCACAGCTAACGCTCCCCTCCCCAGCCAGGATCGACACCCCTCCCCTGGCTGCACAGAGGGCGCTGGAAGAGGCCCGGGGACAGGCCGGCCGTGCCGTCGGCTGGACACCGGGCACAGCGGTGAAGTGTAAGACACCTGCTTACCGGGCAGCCCTCGGGAAAGCGGTCTGTGGTGCACTTGAGGAAGTCGGGCCAGCCCCGCTCCCGCTCCACGATGGTGCACGGGCCCCGCGTGGCCTGGCACAAGGTCTGGCTGGGCAGCTCCACCTGGCCGTCCTCACACTTGGGCATGTACACGGCGCAGAGCAAGGGCTGGATCGCGTCCCAGCAGCGAGGGGCGTTCCGCAAACCTGGCCGAAGGAAAAAACAGCAGTGGGAACTTGGCACAGGCTTAACACAGTGGCTCGGCACCGCCCTCTAGTGGCTGGGCCCAGTGACTACAACAGCCAACCACCTACAGCTCAAGGAGTTACTCCGTTAGCTCAACCAGGACAGGCCTGTGCTTCTGGTGCTGAAACTCCCGGTTCAATCCCCGATGGCCACCACAGTATCTGTACACGTGCCACTACTGGGACATGTAACGGAACCAAGTAGGTCTGACATGCTCCATCCAGCACCGGATAATGGTGCACACACAGCCAGGTAGTTAACCCCTCACTCCCAGTCATAAAAACTGGGGTTTATTTTTGGACCTGCACTGTTAAATGGTGCAGGGAAAAGATCAAACTCCCAGCAAGCAAGCCCACACAACACTCCTCCACCCTTCCTCTATCTCCCTTAATCAATTAATAGCGGTCAGGACGGGGTGGGGTGGCTGCACACTGTGCTAATAGACCCTCAGTTCTCAGATATTCCAGCTGTTTCCTGTGTCACAAATCCACCGTATGGCGAGTCCTCTGATTATTATTTTTAGCGTCACACCAATACGTTGCCGTTCATAGCACCTCTGTGAATGATCTCCACATGCTTCACAAGGCACCGACATAACGCACCCGTGGAAGGCAGCCACCTCTGGGGTGGAGGAGGACAGCAGTAAGGAGAAGGGTATTTGGGGCTGAGATCACGGGGGGAACCCTCCCTTCTTAGGACAAGCGCCATGGGACGGTCAGCCTCCCCGCAGCACAGACAGGGCTTTTGAACCAACACCTCCTGCTAAAGAGCCAGGCCCAGCGGGTTACATAGAGCAGGGGTGGCCAAACTGACTGACTGTCCGAGCCGCGTACGACAATCGTCAGAAGGTTGAGAGTCGGGGTGCCCCTGCCGGGGTTTGGGGCTTCAGCCCTGCTCCGGCTGAAGCCCTGAGCCCCAGCAGTTATGCCCTGTGGGGCTCAAGCCCCTAGACCCCCCTCCCCGTTGGGCAGAAACTGGAGATGAGGTGATACATGGGGGTGGGCATGTGGGGTCACACGGTGCCCCCCCCCCCAGATTTCTGCCAGGGTCACACGGTGCCACCAGGCCCCCTCCCTGCGGCCATGGGGAGAGGCAGCGGCAAACAGCTGGGAGCTGCAGGGAGAGCCGCTGCTTTTTGCTGCTACCTCTCCCTGCGGAGCTAAAGCAGCGACCCCTCCCCGCAGCTCCCGGCTGTCTGCCGCAGCCTCTCCACGCCGCGCTAACACTGGGAGATGCAGGGACTAGGGCAGAGGGGGGCAAACTATGGCCTGCAGGCCACATCCGGCCCGTGGGACCCTCCTGCCCGGCCCCTGAGCTCCTGGCCCGGGAGGCTAGCCCCTGGTCCCTCCCCCGCTGATCCCCCTCCCCCGCAGCCTCAGCTCGCCCTGCCGCCGGCGCAATGCTCTGGGCTGCGAGCTCTTGCCGGGCAGCGCAGCTGCAGAGCCACGGCCTGACCCAGTGCTCTGTGCTGCGCGGTGGCGTGGCTGGCTCCAGCCGGGCGGTGCGGCTGCCTGTCCTGGTGCTCTGGGCAGCGCGGCTGTAGCACCGCCAGCCACCGGTGCTCCAGGCAGCGCGGTAAGGGGGCAGGGAGCAGCGGGGGTTGGATAGAGGGCAGGGGAGTTCGGGGTGGTGGTCAGGGGGTGGGGGTGTTGATAGGGGTCGGGGCGGTCAGAGGGCGGGGAACAGGGGGGTTGAATGGGGGCAGGGGTCCCAGGGGGCAGTGAGGAAGGAGAGGGGGGGTTGGATGGGGTGGCTGGGGGCAGTCAGGGGCAGGGGTTCCGGGGGCGGTCAGGGAGAAGGGGTGGTTGGATAGGGCAGGGATCTGGGGGGGGGCAGTCAGGAATGAGAGGAGGGGTTGGATGGGGCGGCCGGGGGCAGTCAGGGGCGGGGGTCTGGGGGCACTCAGGGGACAGGGAACGGGGGGGTTGGATGGGGCAGGGGTCCCGGGGGGCCGTCAGGGGGCTAGAAGGAGGGGTCAGATAGGGGGCGGGGCTGGGCCACACCTGGCTGTTTGGGGAGGCTCAGCCTCCCCTAACCGGCCCTCCATACAATTTTGGAAACCGGATGTGGCCCTCAGGCCAAAAAGTTTGCTCACCCCTGGACTAGGGGCTGCTGAGCGGAACGGGGGGTGGGGGAAGTAGGGTAACCAGACAACAAGTGTGAAAAATCGGGACGGGGGTGGGGGGGTAATAGGAGCCTATATAAGAAAAAGCCCCCAAAATCAGGACTGTCCCTATAAAATCCGGACATCTGGTCACCCGGGAGCGAGGGCATGCCTGGGGTATGTAACTCAAGCTGTTGGGGAGGGTGAACATTTAAATTGTGCTCCCCCCACTCTCAGCAGGCACCAGTCGCCTCTGGCAGCTGCCCTGAGCTCCACCACCCCACCGCAGGGCAGAAGCCCCGAGCCTCCCCCCACCAGTGGAGAACAGAGGGGACATGGGGGGGCTCTGCAAGCCGCACTTTAACCGTAGAAGAGCCGCAAGAGAGTCGCGAGCTCCGGTTTGGCCACGTCAGGCCTAGGGTTCCCTTTATCTAGCCAAGGAGGAAGACAGGCTAAGCTGACTCCGCTGGGATTTGAACCTCCGGCTCCAGGGAAACGGGTAGAGCACAGAGCCGGTTATGAACTGAATTAACCCTTAGTTGCCAACGAAAGCCCTACTTTAAATAAAAAAGCAACAAAGATGAAACGCAGCAAGTGGTCGAACGGCTCTTACCCTAACCTGGGCCCATGCCTAGGCTGGGAGGGCAGCTTGGCCCCTGAGCGGGGACGACCCCAGGGGATCCCTCTCCCCAGGAACAGCTCTTCAATCCTCCGGCTCCCTGTCATCTGGTATCAGTACCATCCGCCGCACCGGGTCGGCCCATTGGTCCAGCGTGTTTGAAATCCATTGTCCCTCAGTGACCAATTACTGAATCTCCCGTGAAAGGCCAAACAACTACCCCACAATGCACCAGGACAGTTGTACCAACACTGTGGTGTGGAAAAACTTCCCCCCACCCTCCCGGTAGTCATAGATCATAGAATGTCAGGGTGGGAAGGGACCTCAGGTCGTCATCTAGTCCAACCCCCTGCTCAAAGCAGGACCAATCCCCAGACAGATTTTTACCCCAGTTCCCTAAGTGGCCCCCTCAAGGATTGAACTCACAACCCTGGGTTTAACAGGCCAATGCTCAAACCACTGAGCTATCCCTCCCCCCTCCCCTAGTGATGAAAATGCTGCTCCCCAGCAGCATCGAGGCAGCGGTCCTGAGCCTGCAGCTGCTTGTTTAATATTTGGCTTCCCCGGCACTGCAGGACGCTCGGTATCATCTCCGATCACAGGGCCGTTCCCTGCTGTCTCAATACCCACTGGCCACCCTCTGATGGGAGCGCCGTGCCTTCATTGCCAGCCGAGGCCCATCTGGGCTGGGGAGGCGGGTGGAAGATTCTGTATCTCCTTCCCTGTCTCTTGAGCTCGGTGACTGACGCACTGAACGGCCCAACCGGCCCCGTGGGCCAGGCTGCTGAGTCATCCAGGGCAGCCCCTGCAGGGACACGGCTCCTCCTGCCGCGGTTGTTTGCAAGGGTTCGGTAATCAGCGGCCGGCTTGCAAGCAGGCCCTGTGATTAGCCTGGCTCCGCAGCCCTCCTGCTAATGGGACTTTTTGAGATCAACAAGTGAGCGCTTTGCATGGACGCTGGCAAAGCGGGTGAAGGATCACAGAGATGAGCTCACTGCAAAAACACCCGGGATACCAACGCATCCAGAACACGACGACATCTAAACACATGTTCCCTCGGCAGCTTCTTCTCTTTGCCTGGCCTCTCTGCAACTTTAATTAGCTTTGTCTTCCCCTTCTCTCTCTGTAGTGAATTATTGCTTCTTATGGAGAAGGCAGTCTGGTCTAGTGCTTAGAGCATGGGCGCACGTGTCATGACTAAGGCTCACAGAGGTCACGGAAGTCGCAGCAGGAGTTTGGGCGTGGGGGGCTCAGGGCTGGGGTGCAGGGTGGTGCTTACCTGGGAGGGGCTCCCAGTCCCCAGAAGGGAGACAGGAGCTCCCCTCCCTCAGCGCCTAGCTCCACGGGCTGCCCCCGCCTGCAGGCACCGCCCCTGCAGCTCCCATTGGCCGTGGTTCCCAGCCAATGGGAGCTGCAGAACCTGGGCTTGGGACGGAGCGGAGGCAGCACATGGAACTAGGAGCTGCCGTCCCCACTTCCCAGGAAGGGAGCCTGCCCCAGACCCACCAACCCCCTCTCCCAGCACCTCCCAAGGCCACAATGCCCCCTCAGCACCTGCGGTGCCCCCTGGGCCACGACTTCCCCCCTTGTTCCCCCAAGCACCTGCAAGGCCCCCAGGCTGAGAGCCCCTCCCCAGCACCCCCCAGGCCGCGCCCTCCCCCAAGTTTTGATCGGGGGGGCATATAGTAAAAGTCATGGACACGTCATGGGCCGTGAATTTTTGTTTATTGCCCGTGACCTGTCTATGACTTTTACTGAAAATACCCGTGACTCCAATGTACCTTTAGTCATGACTCCTGGGTTCGCGTCCCAGCTCTGTCATTGACGGACCGTGTGATCTCAAGCAAGTCATTTAAACCAGTGGTTCTCAACCAGGGCTACATATACATCAACTCATCTAGATATCGGCCTAGTGTTACAGCAGGCTGCAAAAAAAAGCACCCGCGAAGTCAGTACAAACTCAAATTTCATCCAGACAATGACTTGTTTAGACCGCTCGATATACTGTACACTGAAACGTAAGTACAAGAGTTAGAGTTCAATTGATTTATTTTATAATTCTACGGCAGAAAGGAGACAGCCAGCACGTTTTCAGTAATAGTGCGCTGTGACACGTTGGTATTTGTGTGTCTGATTGTGTAAGCAAGTCGTTTTTAAGTGAGGTGAAACTTGGGGGAACGCAAGACAAATCGGACTCCTGAAAGGGGGACAGTCGTCTGGAAAGGTGGAGAACCACT